GGCGGTGACACGCACGTGTGCTCCGGGGGTTGTCCGGCCCGGCCCGGCAGCACGGGCGGCCGCGCCGCCGAGGGGGGCAATCCAAAATAACAGAGACAAAAGGAACAGAGGTAGCACACCGCCACGGCGGATAAAATGCCACCCGAGTGTTTCGAGGCCCACCTGGCAAAGCCATGTTTGAGGTGGTTTTGTTTTTTTTTTTTTGGGGGGGGGGTGTCCCCCAAACACTAGGATCAGTTTGTCCAGACTCCAGTCGCCCCTTCGTGCTGCCCTCAAAGCAATTCCCAAGTATGTACATCTCCAAATCTGTTTTTCACCCTCCTCAGTCTTGTAAAATTGAATAATCCTATGGCTGGAGGACCCTCAGCATTCCCCCTCTCCCCACACACAGAGTTAATTCTGGCCCTGGAAAGTAATAACCTAAGAGGTTAGTTCACCTGAAACACATTTAAAATACCTCAAAACCTAGGTGTAACAACTTAATCGTTGCTGAGGCCTTTCTGTGCAATGTCAAGCTCAAATTCAATGTGGTTTTAATGCTCCTTTGCAAAGCCCTTTAACAGCAGTATTGTTCTTTATTGTGCATTGCTGGGAGATGGCCTATCTTAAGGCTGGATTTGGAAGAATAATGGGTGTGATATTGGGATACATTTGCGTACTTTTCTGTCACAGTCAATTTATTATAATAGAAAGACAGCAGCTATATTTTTAATAGGCGCTTTTGCAAATAACCAAAACCTTTCATGGCATGCCAATATGAATATATTTTCGGTGTTACCAATAGACTATTGTATCTAATTTCTGCTATTCAGGGAGCTACAAAGTGAAAATGTTTCACTTGGACAATTTCAGAGGCCATGTAAATGGCCTTGTCTAGACCAGGCATTCTTTTTCCCATGTACAAGCACTGATACAGTACACAGGCAACATGTTGCTAGTAGGGATATTGCCATAACAACAAAGCTGCAGAGGCCTTCAGCACAATATAACTTCCCCATTCCAAGCAAAGCCAGCTGTACTCACAGAACAGCGGGGTTTTGACTGGCATAACTTAAGTCTGTATTAGGGGCTTCTGACCAAAAAGCTGTGCTAGGCAGGGATCACGCCTCTGATGCAGGCCAACAGAAATCCACAGCATAGACCTGCTCTCAGAAAGGGGACCCTTTTCAACTGAAGTTAAGTCATTCAAAGTAGCTTAACTACACTGATAACCCAATCAGTATGCGCCTATACCTATACAGGGAAATCATGAAGAAAGGTGCAGAATAGCCAGGCAATGATTTTAGTGCACACTGCATATTTCACACTGGCTCCCTGAAAATGAACACAGCCGCTGTAGTAAACACAAAAGTCACTGTCCGAAAAAATAAAGGATCCACAGCTCAATAGGAACGTAACCGACAATCCTAGCTCTCCCTTCAGGTCTCTCCTTTTGCTGTAAATAGACCTCTAGTTAAAGATCTTTATTCAGTTCAGTGTTATATATTTTGCAGATGAGGGCACTTAAAGAGAAGATTTTAATCTTGTCAAGACCAGGGTGATTGTTTATGTTTAGTGTTCAACGTGAAAACGTAGTCTTACCTGACTTTTCTAATAGCAATTCTGCTGCAATCATCAGTGCTACTTATTTTATGCACGAGACTGCCTTTTTAGAGAGAGTCAAATGTGTGCCAAAATATGTGAACAATAGTTATTGAACCTATGCTTCATAAGCTCAATTTCAAAGGAGAGTGAATTTTTCACTTTGTAACTCTTGGGAAACAGAGCTAAAATAGGGATCAAATCTGTCTTCATGAACAGTATTGTCCCAGCATTGCAATGCTAAACTTGACTAAATATTACCCGGTACTCTTTGGTTTCATAAAGAGGGTAGTTCAGTGTAATAGAGGCTGAAGAGCTGCTCGTATTCAATACTTTGTCCCCCTGAGAAGATAAGAGAAGCAAAACACTTTGCAAAGCGCTATCCAGTTAGCTCACTGCACTGTCACCTCTGCACTCCGGCGTGGTATTCTCTTTCCTAAATTACATCGCAAAAACACTGATCTACCAATAGTAAGGGGTGTGTGTGTGTGTGTGTGTTTTTAAAGCCGGATCTATCACTTCTCAACGAAAGCGGCTGCCACCCTCCTTTGTGCCTGCCGCCCCTGCCGCCTGGGCGAGCCCGGGGCGGCCCCTCACCGGCCCCTCTAGCCCTGCTCAGCACATTCCCCCGGCGGCAGCCCACTGAAGCCACCAACATCTGTAAGTTTGCAGAATCTGGAGCAATTTGCTCCGCCGTCCGCTGGGTTTCACCGCGTTAAGTACGTAGGGGGTTTGCTGGCAGCCCCCGCGCCGGGGGAGGCCCGCCGCCGCGTT